TGGATTTTTTACCTCAACTCTAGAGTAGAGTAGAGTAGAGTAGAATGGTGGAAACAGGGCTCCCGTTTTCATTCTGCTGCAAAGTGTAATTATTTTATTATTATTATTTTTTGAATGATTTTTCTTCTTCTGTTGTTGGTGTCGCTGCTCGGAGGACAGGGCTGTAGGGTTCTTCAGGATCTTTAAAATCACTCTTTTTGGTGGTTTTCTATTTAAAAAACTGGGACGTGAAGCAGATTCTGTACAAGAGGAGGTGGTTTGTTACAGATATATTTTTATAGGACCAATGCAAATGATTCCACTGCTTTTTACCAAATAGATGAAATACAGAGTAAAGGTGTGGGGCGGAGGCTGCAGTCAAACGGACTGCTCCGGTTCTCCCAGTGTCTGTCGAGAAGCGTCTATGCAAAACACCAGATCTCCCAGAGCAGTCAATGTGACGGGTCTTTGGAGGTGTACTGTGTATGTGTGTGGTCTACTTTGGGTAAGACTTCAGGTTAGCCGTCAATCATTTACAGCTAATCAGTGACCTCCAGCCCTAGCCCTTATCTTAACCCTAGCCTTTTCCTGACACTCGTCCTAGCCCTAGTCCTAGTCCTAGCCCTAACCCTAATGCTAATTAATCCTAGTCCTAGCCCCAGTCCTAACCTTAGTCCTAACCCTCGTCCGAGCTCTAGTCCAAACCCTAGTCCTAGTCATTCCCCAAGCCCCAATCCTAGCCCTAACCCTAGTCCTAGTCCTAGTCCTAGCCCTAACCCCAGTGCTAATCTTAGTCCTAGCCCCAGTCCTAACTCTAGTCCTAACCCTAGTCCTAGCCATTGTCCAAGCCCAAGTCCTAGTACTTAGTTCCTGGTTCTGAGCCGAGGATCTAGGAAGAGCAGGGGCTGGTTACCATAGCAACACATTAGAGTTACTGTTAGCACTTAGCATTAGTATTTTTGCTAATGCACTTAGCATTAGCAAAAATACTGGAGTGACAAGCTGTCACTCCAGTATTTTTGCCATATTCACCAGCTTTAGCTTTTACTAACAGTGACTACAGGTAAAAAACCTCCAGAATGTCTTTAGTCACACTTAAGTTGTTCAAAGATAATCAAGCTAATTAAGTGCTAATGAGTCTATGGCTATTTAGCTTTTAATTGTTAGGGCTCCTTGCTAGGGCTTGGGTTAAGACTAAGGTTAGGGCTAGGACTAGGGCTAAGACTAGGACTAGGTTTTAGGCTAGAACTAGGTTTTAGGCTAGAACTAGGGCTAGGGCGAAGACTAGGGCTAAGGTTAAGGCTAGAACTAAGGTTAAGGCTAGAACTAGCACTAGATCTAGCGCTAGGGCTAATGTTAGAGCTAGGTTTGGGCTAGGGCTAGGTTATGGCTAAGGATAGGGTACACTAATTACCCCTTAATTGGCTGTGAATGACTGAGGGCCAATCTAAAGCATTACCTTTACGTTAATCAATCTTTTGAAAAGTTAACTTTCTTCATGATTTTCAGTCCATGGATTTGAGCGGGAGCCGTCAAAACGACTGCTGTGTGAGTCCTGGTGTTTCAGAGTTCTGGTCGTCCTACTGTTAAAACAATCTACATCCTGGAACCTGGTGTTGTGTGTTTGTTTGTGCGGTGACACCTTCAGTCGGCTCCTGCCTGTATCTCATCTGTCAAAGGTCTTGTAAAAAGTGTAAGAAAGAATTTTTAAGACTAATAATAAATTATATTTATATGCAACATCAACCAAAGCACCAGACACGGTTTGTTTTGAAACGACTCCATTCTTTTTTTTTATTTGGGAACGACCCAGATTTAATAATAATACATATATTTACAGCTCCAGATCTGTAGAGACAAGAAGATTTCAGCACAAATATGTACAAAGACTTCTCAGTTTAGACTTAAATATGTTTCTCTTATAGACTTTTCCTCTTCTTAATCATAATAATAATAATAATAGAGGTCACATGTGACTTGGACGTCTCTGTTTGGATATGTTCTTCTACCCCAGACAGTTGTATTATGGTATGAATGTTTTTAGTTTTGTTGGTTTAGAAAGGTCAGTGATGCATCATGGGAAAGTCATCTCAGAGGACTTCACACAGCTGTCGATTTGCCAACAACAGATCAGAGAATCAAACAGATGAAACCCCGGGAATGACAATAAATGTGTAAGAGAGTGGAGCGTCCTGGATCACAAAAACGAGGGTTAGAGGGAGAAAAGTGAGAAACCTCGAGGCGTTTGTCTCTCACTGCAGGTCACCTACAGGGGGCGCATGTCAGACCTGCTTGACTTAAGTGAAAGAGGAAACCGGAGCTCCTGGAGGAAACCTACACATACGATGGATGTATTATGATATGTCGATAGGGTATTGTTGAGCTCGGGAGAGTCTGGTGGTGCTGCAGACTAAACCAGACTAAATTCACGTTACCCAGAAATGTTCCCAAAAGAACTCAATGTAAACTAAAACAGCTCGGCCGAAGCTGACAGAGATCCTGACAGAGATCCTGACAGAGATCCTGACAGAGATCCTGACAGAGATCCTGACAGAGATCCTGACAGAGAAACTGACAGAGAACCTGACAGAGAACCTGACAGAGAACCCGACAGAGAACCCGACAGAGAACCCGACAGAGAACCTGACAGAGAACCTGACAGAGAACCTAGTGAGAACCTGACAGAGAACCTAGAGAACGGGAGGAGCAGTTGAGGCCCGTTAATCTGGAGACACGTGCACTCCTGAGCACAGGCCTTGATTTGAACAGGACGCCATCTTGGATCGCCAGGTTTTGACACAGACACAGAAATGCAAACCCAGGACTAACCACGGCACTGAACTCTTCACATCTTCGGGCGGCACGGTGGCTGAGTGGACAGCACTCTCGCTTCACAGCAAGAAGGTCCTGGGTTCGAATCCCGGTCAGAACAGGGCCTTTCTGAGTGGAGTTTGCATGTTCTCCCCGTGTCTGCGTAGGTGTGCTCCGGTTTCCCCTACCACTAAAAACATGTACAATAGGAGACTAAGAGACTAATGTCCACATTTGTAAACCGTGTAAGGCACTATATAAATAAATATAACTTACTAATTACTTGCTAACATTGGCCCTGACTGCTACCGATGTGTAATAAATGAGCGCATCAGCGGTACACGGTGCATCACAGAGGCACAAACAACTGTCTGGTGTCGAAGAACCATAAAAGTTTATTCCACCGAGAAAACCAGGTGCACCTGAACGACACAGAGGCAGTGGCGACAGCTCAAAACGCTGCTCAGAAACACTGTCTATGGCTTACACAGAGACTTCCTCTGAGTCTGCAGTCATTTTGACTGCTTCTGCTTTCACAGAAAGCACGTACAGAAACAGAGAGACCAGAAAGAGACCAGAGAGAGACCAGAGAGGGACCAGGGAGAGACCAGAGAGAGACCAGAGAGGGACCAGGGAGAGACCAGAGAGAGACCAGAGAGGGACCAGGGAGAGACCAGAGAGAGACCAGAGAGAGACTGACACAATAGAGTAACCAGAAAGACACAAGAGAGAGATTAGATATTTGTGCCAGCTCCATGTCTCCTCATTCCTTCTCCCTGCGGTGGAGCGACCAGTGAAGGGAAGTCTTGGTACTGAGAGGGGATGGACTTTGTTGGTCCGAGGTCTCAATGGTCCAAGGTCTCAATGGTCCGAGGTCTCGATGGTCCGAGGTCTCGATTGTCCGAGGTCGCCATGGTCCGAGGTCTCGATGGTCCGAGGTCTCGTTGGTCCGAGTTCTCGATGGTCTGAGGTCAGAGTTTGACGTCCTGAGTCTCTAACATCTTGGCCAAAGTCTTCTTGACCCTCAGAGCCGTGAGGCGAGAGGCCGGGTTAGGAGCCCAGCACTCAGACATCATCTTCCCCAACTGACGGAGGCACTGAGGGCAGAGGACAGAGGACATGAGGAGAGAGTAGCGTAGAGTAGAGTAAGTGTAGAGTAGAGTAAAGTTAGAGTAGAGTTAGGGTAGGGTAGGGTAGAGTAGAGTTAGGGTAAGGTAGAGTAGAGTTAGGGTAGGGTAGAGTAGAGTAGAGTTGAGTGAGGGTAGGGTAGAGTAGAGTTGAGTGAGGGTAGGGTAGGGTAGAGTGGAGTTAGGGTAGGGTAGAGTAGATTAGAGTAGAGTTAGGGTAGGGTAGGGTTGGGTAGAGTAGAGTAGAGTAGAGTAGAGTTAGGGTAGAGTAGAGTAGAGTAGAGTTAGGGTAGGGTTGGGTAGAGTAGAGTAGAGTACAGTAGAGTAAAGTAGAGTAGAGTTAGGGTAGAGTAGAGTAAGTGTAGAGTAGAGTAAAGTAAGAGTAGGGTAGGGTAGAGTAGAGTAGAGTTAGGGTAGGGTAGGGTAGAGTAGAGTTAGGGTAAGGTAGAGTAGAGTTAGGGTAGGGTAGAGTAGAGTTGAGTGAGGGTAGGGTAGGGTAGGGTAGAGTGGAGTTAGGGTAGGGTAGAGTAGATTAGAGTAGAGTTAGGGTAGGGTAGGGTTGGGTAGAGTAGAGTAGAGTAGAGTTAGGGTAGAGTAGAGTAGAGTAGGGTTGGGTAGAGTAGAGTAGAGTACAGTAGAGTAAAGTAGAGTAGAGTTAGGGTAGAGTAGAGTAGAGTAGAGTAGAGTAGCGGTAGGGTAGAGTAGAGTAGAGTAGAGTAGAGGTAGGGTAGAGTAGAGTAGAGTAGAGTAGAGTAGAGTAGAGTAGAAACCTCGTCACTGCTCCAGCGGTTGGGGAACGAGGGTCTCTGTTTCTTGATGCAGACCACTTCTTTCATGTCCTCGTACGAAGGGTCACCTGGTACCAACTCATGGTACGGCAGCTGGTACTCCTCCACGATGCCTGCACAGACACCATGTGGGCAGAAACCATCAACGCGACAGAACGAGTCTGAATTACATGTTTACAGCCAAAAAAATCCAATGCCTGGTTCACACACACACACACATCCACACACTCACACACACACACAAACACACACACACGCACACAAACACAAAAACACACACACACACATGTACACACACAAACACACACGAACAGACAAAGTTAGAGATAGAGTTAACGTTAGAGTCAGAGTTAGAGATAAAGTTAGAGTTAACGTTAGAGTCAGAGTTAGAGATAAAGTTAGAGTTAGAGTTAGAGCTACCTCCGGACACGCAGCGGCGGGCCAGCTCCCAGAGGATGAGGCCAAAGCTGTACATGTCGGACATCATGAAGGACTGGAAGTAGCTCCTGTTCAGGGTCTCGTCCAGAACTTCCGGAGCCATAAAGCGCTTAGTGCCCACTCTCAGGTTCAGGGGGATGTCCAGCTCGTTAGTGTCACTGAGGGAGGGAGCAGAGATCAGAGCGAGATTGAGGATCAGGGAGAGACCAGAGAGGAAGTGGAGATCAAAGAGGGAGACCAGGGAGAAACCAGAGAGGGAGCAGAGCGAGACCAGGGAGAGACCAGAAGTAGACCGAGACCAGGCAGAGACTGACGGAGAGCAGAGATTACAGCAAGACCAAGCTCAGTGAGAGACAAGAGAGAGACCAGAGAGAGACCCAAGAGAGATCAGAGCAAGACCAGCGATCAGAAATAGACCGACACCAGATAGCGACCAAAGACCAGAGAGAGACTGAGACCAGAGAGGGACCAGAGATCAGTGCGAGACCAAGACCAGGGAGAGACCAGGGAGAGAACACAGAGAGACTAGAGAGAGATCAGAGAGAGAGCAGAGAGACCAGATCGAGACCAAAGAGAGATCAGAGAGAGACCAGAGATAAGAAGGAGACCGACACCAGAGAGCAACCAAAGACCAGAGGGAGACCAAGACCAGGGAGAGACCTGAGAGAGACCAGAGAGTTCTTTTAAACCTGTTAACTAGACCAGAGCCAGACCAAAGAGACACCAGAAATCAGAGCGAGACAGAGACCAGGGAGAGACCAGGGAGAGACCAGAGAGAGACCAGAGAGTTCTGTTAAACCTGTTAAACTTGACGGCCAGGCCCAGGTCGGCGATGCAGCAGTAGCCGTTCTTCTTGACCAGGATGTTCTTGCTCTTCAGGTCCCTGTGAGCTATGGCGGGTTTGCCCTGTGTGCCGTAGATCTCGGTGTGGAGGTGGCACAGGCCGGAGATGGACGAGTACGACAGTTTGAGAAGCGCCGCCGTGTCCAGCGTGTTGCACTTGAGGAAGTCGTACAGAGACCCGTTCTCGTGGTAATCCGTGATCAGGTACAGCTGCGTCCACGAACCCGTACCTTTGATATCTGCGGCGATGAACCCTGGGAAAGAGAGAGAAATAGTACTTTCAGGGGAGAGTAGAGTAAAGTAGAGTAGAGTAGAACAGAGTAGAGTAGAGTAGAACAGAGTAGAGTAGGGTAGAGTAGGGTAGAGTAGAGTAGGGTAGGGTAGAGTAGGATAGAGTAGGGTAGAGTAGAGTAGAGTAGGGTAGAGTAGAGTAGAGTAGAGTAGAGTAGAGTAGAACAGAGTAGAGTAGAGTAGAACAGAGTAGAGTAGGGTAGAGTAGAGTAGAGTAGAGTAGGGTAGAGTAGAGTAGAGTAGAGTAGAGTAGAGTAGAGTAGAGTAGGGTAGGGTAGAGTAGAGTAGGGTAGAGTAGAGTGTGCGTCTCTGGTGTGTATATTTGTTTGTGTGTGTATGTGATTGTGTGTGATTGTGTGTGTGTGTGTTTGTGTGTGTGTGTGTGTGTGTGTGTGTATGTGTGTGTGTTTGTGTGTGTACCCAGGATGTTGTCGTGCCGCATCAGAAAGGTTTGGTAGATCTCAGTTTCTCTGAACCAACTTTCTTCTTCTGTGGTGAAGAAGACTTTGACGGCGACTCTCTCCCCCCTCCACCTCCCCATCCACACCTCCCCGTACCGGCCTTTCCCGATCTGCCGCACCATCTGGATCTGCTTGGCTATGGTCCGCTGCACCTGGTACCACACAGGACTTAGGTGAGACCAGAGAGTAGAGAGACCAGAGACCAGAGGGAGCAGAGAGAGACGAGAGAGAGACCAGAGAGAAACCAGAGAGAGACCAGAAAAAGACCAGAAACAGTAGCAGAGACCATATAGAGACCAGGTAGAGACCAGAAAGAGACCTGAGGGAGACCAGAGAGAGACCTGAGAGAGACCAGAGAGAGACCAGAAACAGTAGCAGAGACCATATAGAGACCAGGTAGAGACCAGAAAGAGACCTGAGGGAGACCAGAGAGAGACCAGAAACAGTAGCAGAGACCATGGAGACCAGGTAGAGACCAGAAAGAGACCTGAGGGAGACCAGAGAGAGATCAGAGAGACCAGGTCTAAATAACACATTTAGCTATAGAATACTGTGGGAATAATAAACGTTTATTATTATTAAGTAATAAGCCGTTGAGATGAATGAAGATGATGAATCACCTAGTTTCCGAGGGAAAATAAAGCATCTTTCAATCAAAGTTCTATTTGTCTTTAAGATTATTTTAGACGTAACGTCATCAAAAGAGACTCTTGTGCTACAGAGAAGAGTGTAACACTTAGATAATGTAATTTATCACGTGTGAAAGAGTGTAAACATGAGTGTTCTGAATGAAGCTGCTGTCAGGTTGTGGTGTTGCAGTGTCGGCCTCTCACCAGCAGAGGGAGCCCTGAGCCTGAGCCTGAGCCCACACTGCGGGAGTGCTCGATCAGGTCCTTCAGGGACTCTCCAGGAGGGATGTAGGTCTCGTCCTGCTCCAGGTCCATGCTGTAAAGCGGACGGGACGCCTGCCGCTTGTACCTGTACACACACACACACACACACAACCACATACAACCACACACACACACACACACAACCACACACACATACATACACGCACACACAACCACACACACACACAAAACAGTCAAAGAAGTTCATATGCCTTGAGTAAAAACAAAAGAAAATGTTTGTGGTTCTGTTGAAAGACAAATCAACAAGGAAATAGATCTAACTTGTCTTTGAAAATCCCACAAAGGAGACGCTATTATCTCACTGTTCTATTGTTTTTAAGGTGCTGCTAATGGACTATATCTGTCAAAGAGAGAGACCAGAGAGAGAGACCAGAGAGAGAGACCAGAGAGAGAGGCCAGAGAGAGACCAGAGAGAGAGACCTGAAAGAGAGACCAGAGAGAGAGACAAGAGAGAGAGACCTGAAAGAGAGGCCAGAGAGAGAGACCAGAGAGAGAGGCCAGAGAGAGAAACCAGAGAGAGAAACCAGAGAGAGAGACCAGAGAGAGAGACCAGAGAGAGAGACCAGAGAGAGAGACCTGAAAGAGAGACCAGAGAGAGAGCCCAGAGAGAGAGGCCAGAGAGAGACCAGAGAGAGAGACCAGAGAGAGAGACCTGAAAGAGAGGCCAGAGAGAGAGACCAGAGAGAGAGGCCAGAGAGAGAGACCAGAGAGAGCGACCTGAAAGAGAGGCCAGAGAGAGAGACCAGAGAGAGAGACCTGAAAGAGAGACCAGGGAGAGAGGCAAGAGAGAGAGGTCAGAGAGAGACCAGAGAGAGAGACCAGAGAGAGAGACCAGAAAGAGACCAGAGAGACCAGAGAGAGAGACCAGAGAGAGAGACCAGAGGGAGAGACCAGAGAGAGAGACCAGAGAGAGAGGCCAGAGAGAGACCAGAAAGAGACGAGAGAGAGACCAGAAAGAGACCAGAGAGAGAGACCAGAAAGAGACCAGAGAGACCAGAGAGAGAGACCAGAGAGAGAGACCAGAGGGAGAGACCAGAGAGAGAGACCAGAGAGAGAGGCCAGAGAGAGACCAGAAAGAGACGAGAGAGAGACCAGAAAGAGACCAGAGAGATAGCAGAGGGAGAGCATAGAGAGAAATCCCACGAGTCAAAACCACAAGTGAGGGAGACAGAGAGAAAGACCGAAGTGAGACCAGAAAGAGAGAGAGACCAGAGAGAGACCAGAGAGTGACAAGAGAGTGAGAAGTAGTAGTAGTAGTAGTAGTAGTAATCTTTATTTATATACCGCCTTTTCACTGCACATCGGAGTCTCAAAGCGGTTTACAATTGTTATTTTTGGGAGTGGGGGTGCCAGAACAGGAGGCACATGCCAGACCTATTGTACATATTTTTAGTGGTAGGGGAAACCGGAGCACCCGGAGGAAACCTACGCAGACACGGGGAGAACATGCAAACTCCACTCAGAAAGGCCCTGGTCCAACCAGGATTTGAACCCAGGACCTTCTTGCTGAGAGGCGAGAGTGCTATCCACTCAGCCACCGTGCCGCCCGAAGTATACCGGAGAGAGCACGGAGAGAGAGACCAGAGTGTGAGAACCCAAGAGAGAAGCACACTACAGTTAATTTGTGGTGGTTTGAAACTTAGACTCCAGCTTTAGAGCTTTATTTGTCCAGAGACTGAGAACTGAGAGGACTGACCTGAAGTAACAGAGCAGGAGGACGAGACCCAGGACCAGACTGCAGACCGAGACCGAGACACACAGGGCCATGTACTGGATACTGCTGTCCATGAAGTCTGTGGGAACACACATTTATGTAAGAACCATCCACCCACACATAGAGAGCAGAGAGAGACCAGAGAGAGACCAGAGAGAGGCCAGAGAGAGACCAGAGAGAGACCAGAGAGAGGCCAGAGAGAGACCAGAGAGAGACCAGAGAGAGACCAGAGAGAAAGACTGAAAATTGTCTTCTGACAGTCACTTGTTTGCTGCTATCAGTCTCCAACATCAGTATAATTCTCTGCGTCAGGGACAAGTCCTTCCTTCCTCTCTCCTCTCTGCCTCCCCTCCCTCCTCTCCCTCCCTCCCTCCCTCCTCTCCCTCCCTCCTTTCCCTCCTCTCTCTCCTCTCTGCCTCCCCTCCCTCCTCTCCCTCACTCCCTCGCTCCCTCGGCTTGTCCCACTGGGTGAGATCGATCCCCTTCCTGCAGCTCTCGGATCAGGTGTCTCATGGACATGGCGGGGCTGTCAGTCACAGTTACAGAGAGGAGAGAGAGGAGAGACAGGAAAGAGAGAGGAGAGAGAGAGGAGAGAGGAGGGAGAGAGGAGAGAGAGAGAGGAGAGAGACACGAGAGAGAGGAGGGAGAGAGGAGAGAGAGCGAGGAGAGAGGAGGGAGTAGAGAGAGGAGAGCGTAGAGAGAGAGAAGAGAGAGAGTAGAGATAAAAGGAGAGAGTAAAGAAAGGAGAGAGTAGAGAGACAAGAGAGAGATGGAATTGAGTTGAGGTGCTAAACAAGATACATATTTTTTGTAAGAATACTCAGCATTGTCTCCTTTGTGTGTACATTGTGTGTGTGTGTGTGTGTGTGTGTGTGTGTGTGTGTGTGTGTATGTGTGTGTGTGTGTGTGTGTGTGTGTGTGTGTGTGTATGTGTATGTACAGTGTGTGTGTCTTGGTGACAGAGTGGCCGATCGCTCACATCCGTCTGAGGCCACGAAACTCAAACACGCCCCAGGGAAAAGCTGTCCTTTTCATTATAGGCTGAGGGCGAGAGACCAGAGGGAGACCAGAGGGAGACCAGAGGGAGACCAGAGAGGGACCAGAGAGAGATCAGAGGGAGACCAGAGAAGGACCAGTGAAGGACCAGAGAAGGACCAGAGAGAGGGCAGTGAGAGACCAGAGAGAGACTAGAGAGAGACCGGAGGGAGACCAGAGAGAGACCAGAGAGAGGGCAGTGAGAGACCAGAGGGAGGGCAGTGAGAGACCAGAGAGAGACGAGAGAGAGACCGGAGGGAGACCAGAGAGAGACCAGAGAGAGGGCAGTGAGAGACCAGAGGGAGACCAGAGAGAGACCAGAGGGAGATCAGAGAGAGACTAGAGAGAGACCGGACGGAGACCAGAGAGAGACCGAGAGAGAGACCAGAGAGAGACCAGAGAAGGACCGGAGAGAGACCAGAGGGAGACCAGAGAAGGACCGGAGAGAGACCAGAGGGAGACCAGAGAGAGACCAGAGGAAGACCAGAGAAAGACCAGAGAGAGAGCAGAGAAGGACCGGAGAGAGACCAGAGGGAGACCAGAGAGAGACCAGAGGGAGACCAGAGAAAGACCAGAGGGAGACCAGAGAAAGACCAGAGAGAGACCAGAGAGTGACTAGCGAGAGAGCAGAGAGACAGAGGGCAGTAGACCCAGGACTCACCGGTCGTGCTGATCGGAGGCAGAGTTGGGTGCAGGTCTCTGTTGCAGTAGTCCCGGTCTGTGCAGCACTCCAGCGTCTTCCTCAGGCGACCATTCCACATGTCCTGAGAGCGGCACGTTTAATTGTATAGCACAGTTCATACAGAAGGAAACTCATGGTACTTGACAAAACAATATGTCCTACACACACTATACACATGTTTATATTCAGGTATGTACAGAACAGACACATCTGAAAGAAATGCTAGTTTGACCAAAAAGTCTGAGACCAGAGAGACACCAGAGAGGGACCAGAGAGGGACCAGAGAGAGACCAGAGAGAGGCCAGAGAGGACCTAGCGATAGAGAGGCCAGAGCGAGACTAGAGCGATACCAGAGAGAGACCAGAAAGAGAGAGACAAGTTAGAGAAAGACCAGAAAGAGAGAGAACAGAGAGAGAGAGAGAGACCAGGGAAAGACCAGCGATAAAACAGAGAGAGACCAGAGAGAGACTAAAGAGACCAGAGAGAGACCAGAGAGAGACTAAAGAGACCAGAGAGAGACCAGAGAGAGACCAGAGACAGACCAGAGAGAGACCAGAGAGAGACAAGAGAGAGACCAGAGGGAGACCAGAGAGAGACCGGAGAGAGTCTGACTCACTCTGCATTGAAACTCGGAGCCCACGAGGCCCAGACATCCAGAGGTGACCACAGCTTGTCCGGCCTCCTCCTCCTCCACCATCGTGAAGCAGTATCCGTCGGTCCTGCAGCGACAGACACTGCATCAGCAAAGGAGAGACCAGAGATACCAGAGAGAAAGCTACGGAGGTATTCATGGTTTAAAGACTGCCCCTAGAGGTGGAAGAAGAGCGCTACAATGGAGTCCCAGTGTTTGTCTAGTTTATTTGAGATCATTCAAAAAGAAAATCCAGTTTTTTCTGACTGTGTCTGACTCTGTCTTTCTACCTCTTTCTGGTCTCACTCTTTCTCTCTTGTCTCTTTTGGTCTCTCTTTCTTTGGTGTCTTTCTCTCTCTCGAGTCTCTCTCTGGTTTCACCCTGGTTTCACTACTTGGTCTCTCTATCGGGTCTCTCTCTCTGGTCTCTCTCTCGCTACTCTCTCCATATCTGACCTCGGCCGGTGGGGGTGTCCCAGAAACAGAATTACCCAATGCTTTTGTATGGCATCATTTTTCCTCTTGAAAACCTCTCCACAGGACGGTCCAAAAGTCGGCTCTAACGCTGTCGATGCTAAGGGTATTTTTTATTCAGACCAGTCTAGTTTAGCAGCTGTGGACTTTGGAATGCACTGGTTAAATAGATTGGGCTAGTGCGGCTAACACATGCACAAAAGCCACACAAAAAATATTTACTGTCTATGGTCAAAACAGGCAAGTCCACCGGGCTGCAACGCTTTTGAGAGTCAAAAAGGCGCCCTAAGAATGCATTGGATAATTCTGTTTCCTGTACACCCCCACCACTGGCAGGGAGTCCGACCGGTCCGAACTGGTTCTGAGCCTGGTTTCTCACATGCAGGTGTTGTTGAAGGAATCCTCGGGACAGTGGTGGTTGCAGTGGCACCAGAGCAGGCTCTTGGCGGATGAGGATGTGACATCACTCGTCTCCTCTGTACTCTTCTCTTTCCCTCCTTTCCACCCGTTTCTGAGCAACATGGCGTCCAACAGGTTCGCTGCAGAAGAAGAAGAAAACATTTTACCACTTTGTATTTTGGATTTTTTACTGGAATGTCATTTAATGTATTTGTCACAACAGCTGTGATTTTCTCTCTTTGGTGCTCTCTGGTGCTCTCTGGTCTCTCTGGTCTCTCTCTAGTCTCTCTCTAGTCTCTCTCTGGTCTCTCTCTGGTCTCTCTCTAGTCTCTCTCTGGTCCCTCCCTGGTCTCTCTCTGGTCTCTCTCTGGTCTCTCTCTGGTCTCTCTCTGGTCTCTCTCTGGTCTCTCGCTGGTCTCTCTCTAGTCTCTCTCTCTAGTCTCTCTCTAGTCTCTCTCTAGTCTCTCTCTGGTCTCTCTCTGGTCTCTCTCTGGTCCCTCTCTGGTTTCTCTCTGATCTCTCGCTGGTCTCTCTCTGGTCTCTCTCTCTAGTCTCTCTCTGGTCTCTCTCTGGTCTCTCTGGTCTCTCTCTGGTCTCTCTCTGGTCTCTCTGGTCTCTCTCTGGTCTCTCTCTGGTCTCTCTGGTCTCTCTCTGGTCTCTCTCTGGTCTCTCTGGTCTCTCTCTGGTCTCTCTCTGGTCTCTCTGGTCTCTCTCTGGTCTCTCTCTGGTCTCTCTCTGGTCTCTCTCTAGTCTCTCTCTGGTCTCTCTCTGGTCTCTCTCTGGTCTCTGGTCTCTCTCTGGTCTCTCTCTGGTCTCTCTCTGGTCTCTCTCTGGTCTCTCTCTAGTCTCTCTCTAGTCTCTCTCTGGTCTCTTTTCTGGTCTCTCTCTGGTCTCTCTCTAGTCTCTCTCTGGTCTCTCTCTAGTCTCTCTCTGGTCTCTCTCTGGTCTCTCTCTAGTCTCTCTCTGGTCTCTTTCTGGTCTCTCTCTGGTCTCTCTCTGGTCTCTCTCTGGTCTCTCTCTAGTCTCTCTCTGGTCTCTCTCTGGTCTCTGGTCTCTCTCTGGTCTCTCTCTGGTCTCTCTCTAGTCTCTCTCTGGTCTCTTTCTGGTCTCTCTCTGGTCTCTCTCTGGTCTCTCTCTGGTCTCTCTCAGTACAATTAAACTTCTGTATTAGATCCCAGAGATGAGCTCCAGGGGGAGACAGCGCCGATCGATACAAATACTATTATTGAGCTGCAGATTTTTTTCCATTAAGAGACGACTGGAAATGAGTGGGACAGACACAGCGCTTTTAACACAGAGTGGATCAGACGAGCTTCATGGTGTCTGAAAAATACTACAACTAAACCACATCTCACTCATGCAAATCTGTAGCGGGAGAGAATATAAGTGTTTTGAGTACCAGGTGTGACAGACCGCTTCATTGGCTCTCTGGTTGCTATTTTTTTCTAAGTAAGTAAGTAGATAAGTAATGTTTATTTATATAGCACATGTTACAGACCAAGTACAGACCCAAAGCACTTTCCAATGTTCAGAGTCAGATATTGTTCCAATCCTTCCACACACGGTGATGACAGAAGCGAGTCCAGAACACACTGGACCATCAGCTCCAATCAACACATTCATACATATTCATACCTATTGTGCATGTTTTTAGTGGTAGGGGAAACCGGAGCACCCGGAGGAAACCGGAGCAGACACAGGGAGAACATGCAAACTCCACTCAGAAAGGCCCTGTTCCGACCGGGATTCGAACCCAGGACCTTCTTGCTGAGAAACGAGATTGCTAACCACTCAGCCACCGTGCCGCCAATTTTGTTCTGATGTCTCCCTGGTTTCTCTTCTATCTCTTTCTCTAGTCTTCCTGGTCTCCCTGGTTTCTCTCTGGTCTCTCTCTGGTCTCTCTCTGGTCTGTCTCTGGCCTCTCTCTGGTCTCTCTCTGGTCTCTCTCTGGTCTCTCTCTGGTCTGTCTCTGGCCTCTCTCTGGTCTCTCTCTGGTCTCTCTCTGGTCTCTCTCTGGTCTCTCTCGCTGGTCTGTCTCTGGCCTCTCTCTGGTCTGTCTCTGGTCTCTCTCTGGTCTCTCTCTGGTCTCTCTGGTCTCTCTCCGGTCCCAGCTCAAAAGTGGCCAAAATGATGTGCGCTGACATGCTTGCAATACCACCCCGGGCCGATGGGGGTGGACCCAGGAGAAGAATTAGCCAATGCTAACATATAGCATTGGCAGACCTCTCAAAAACGTCTTTACAGGATGGACCAAAAGTTGGCTCTTGGCCCAAAGCTCCGTTCCACATGTGTGTCAATGCTGAGGGGGGTAGATTTTTTTGGTCCACTCTAGTTTACTCGCTGTGAATTTTTGAAGTCTCTCGTTCAAATTAATGGAGCTCTCGTCGGGCGTGCACCAACATTAGAAAATCTTATCATCTTATCTTATCGCTGCACCGCTGGCGCTGTACGTAAAAAAACATTTAACACGTTCTTGAAAAAATAAATGAAAATTGTCCTAATGTTGGGACTCTGAGGAGCACAGGGACTGGCTTCCTGCTGGTCCCTGGTTCAGAGTTGCCTTGTGTATGGACTGTTCTATACAAATAAAAAATGTGGCTTTATCTAGAAATAATCTGCAAATCTCGATCAGTGAATTAATGCCAATGCTTATTCTGCTTATACAGTATGTATTCTCCATCCATCCATTTTCTACCCTTTAATCCATTTCTGGGTCAGGGGGGTGGCAATCAGAGATGCCACCCAAGTCTCATAGCACCAGCCCCTCACTGACCCTCTGCAGGTGGTGAGTCCACAGGAGGACGGCTGCTCTCTAACTGTGAGCATAGCCTTGATCTTTCAGTGGGGGCTTTCTCTGATGCAGGAGGAGAGTGAAGAAGAATTGTGTAGAGTAGAGTAGACTAAAGTAGAGTAGAGTAGACTAAAGTCGAGAAGAGTAGAGTAGAGTAGAGTAGAGTAGAGTAGAGTAGAGTGCAGTAGAGTAGAGTAGAGTACAGTAGAGTAGAGTAGAGTACAGTAGAGTAGAGTAGAGTACAGTAGAGTAGAGTACAGTAGAGTAGAGTAGAGTGCAGTAGAGTAGAGTACAGTAGAGTAGAGTAGAGTGCAGTAGAGTAGAGTAGAGTAGAGTACAGTAGAGTGCAGTAGAGTAGAGTAGAGCAGAGTGCAGTAGAGTAGAGTAGAGTACAGTACAGTACAGTAGAGTGCAGTAGAGTAGAGTAGAGTAGAGTGCAGTAGAGTAGAGTACAGTAGAGTGCAGTAGAGTAGAGTAGAGTAGAGTAGAGTAGAGTAGAGTACAGTAGAGTACAGTAGAGTAGAGTAGAGTAGAGTAGTATAGAGTAGAGCACTCTGGTTGTTACTCCGAGGCTAAACCGCGGCCGTCACTGTCTCCATTAGCCTCGCTCTGGTTCGTTCTGTTCGTGTGGTTGATTTTACTGGAAAAAGCCACAAGCCACAGTTTGAAGCCGTCTCTGTTACAAATGCACTGAGACCAGAACGAGACCGAGGCACTGAGGCCAAAGACTCAGGCTCCGGGCGCAGGAGTCAGAGGTGCAAGATTCATGTTTACTACAGTGTGGATTCTTTCTCCTCAGAGGTATTCTGTAAGTGGGCAAATGGTGGTCTCTCTTTCTCTCTGGTCTCACTGTCGTCTCTCTCTCTCTGGTTTCTATGTAGTCTCTCTGCTCTCTCTCTGGTCTCTCTCTGCTCTTTCTCTGCTCTCTCTCTGTGCTCTCTCTCTCTGCGCTCTCTCTGGTTGCTCTTTCTCTCTGCTCTCTCTCTGGTTTCTCTCTGCTCTCTGCTCTCTCTCTGTGCTCTCTCTCTGCGCTCTCTCTGGTTGCTCTTTCTCTCTGCTCTCTCTCTGGTTTCTCTCTGCTCTCTGCTCTCTCTCTGTGCTCTGTCTCTGCTAGCTCTCTGGTTGCTCTCTCTTTCTGGTTTCTCTCTCTGCTCTCTCTCTGGTTTTCTATCTGTGCTCTCTGTGCTTTCTCTCTGCTCTCTCTCTGTGCTCTCTCTCTGCTCTCTCTCTGTGCTCTCTCTCTGCTCTCTCTCTCTGGCCCATCTCTCTTCTCTCACATGCAGGACTGTTTCAGAGGGAGATATTGGAGATCTGTCGGGTTTCCCGATGTGACAAGACTGTGACGACCTTTGATACACTGATACACTCGCTCTCTCTCGGTCTCACATGGTCTCACATGGTCTCACATCTGCACCGGGATCAGGTTCTGTTTGAGGGGGAACACTATCCACATCCTGACAGGAAGCAGAGAGCGAGAGACTGGACGTCCCGAGCTCCGGACCTCACTCTGACCTCACTGCAAAACCCAATGTCATCAAAACATACAGAGAACTCAGATCTCACTCTGGTCTCACTCTGATCTCACTCTGGTCTCTCTCTGGTCTCTCTTTGGTCACTCTGTCTCTGGTCATTCTCTCTCTGGTCTCTCTCTCTCTCTATAGTCTCTCTCTTCTCTCTCTCTAGTCCCTCTCTCTCTGGTCTCTCTTCTCTCTCTCTGTTCTCTCTCGCTCTCCCTCTCTCTCTTCTCTCTCTGGCCTCTCTGTCTCTCTAGTCTCTCTCTCTCTCTGGTCTCTCTCTCTCTCTCTGTTCTCTCTCGCTCTCCCTCTCTCTCTGGTCTCTCTTCTCTCTCTGGCCTCTCTGTCTCTCTAGTCTCTCTTTCTCTCTCTCTCTCCCTCTCTCCCTCTCTCTCTGGTCTTTCTGTCTCTCTAGTCTCTCTTTCTCTCTCTCTCTCCCTCTCTCCCTCTCTCTCTGGTCTCTCTTCTCTCTCTGGCCTCTCTGTCTCTCTAGTCTCTCTCTCTCTCTCTCTAGTCTCTCTCTCTCTCTCTCTCTCTCTCTGGTCTCCGTGACTAGAGTGCAATAATGTCAGAATGTGCAACTCCCTCGCAAATAAAAGCATCTGATTGGTCGGTCCGTATATGGCTCATATCTGGATTTACTTTTAGTCAATAAGAGAGAGGCCAGAGAGACAGCAGAGAGAGAGAGAGAGAGAGAGAGAGAGACCACAGAGACAGCAGAAAGAGAGATAGACCAGAGAGAAAGCAGAGAGAGAGAGAGCAGAGAGAGAGAGACCAGAGAGACATCAGAGAGAGAGAGACCAGAGAGACAGCACATTGAGATCCAGAAAGACTTTGAGCCAAACGTACAATATTTTTAGAACGGATAACAATGCTGCTAAAAACGCTGCGCTTCTAAAGTCGACCATCAGCTGGACACCAGTAAGACACAAATAGAGACAGTGACACATGGTGCTATTTCAGGAACACAAACACAACATACTGGTCTCTCTCTGGTCTCTTTCTGATATATCTCTGATTTCTCTTTTGTCTCCCTCTGGTCTCTCTCTCTGGTTTCTCTCGTTCTTGTCTCTTTCTCTGGTTTCTTTCTGGTGTCTCTTTGATTTCTAGTTGGCTTCTTTTTGGTCTCTCTCTTGACCTTCTCTCTTCCTCTGGTCTCTCTCTCTCAGACCTCTCTCAGACCTCTCTCTGGTCTCTCTCTAGTCTCTCTCTCTCTGGTCTCTCTCTCTCTGGTCTCTCTCTCTCTGGTCTCTTTCTGGTCTCACTGTGTTCTCTCTTTCTCTCTCTGGCCTCTACAGTATGTGGTCCCCCTCTGATCTCTTTTCTCTCCCTCTGGTGTCTCTCTCTCTCTCTCTCTAATCCATCTCTCATCCATCTCTGGTCCCGCTCGTGTCTCTCCCTCTGATCCATCTCTGGTCTCCCTCTGGTCTCTCTCTGCTCTCTCTCTCTGGTCTCTCTCTGGTCTCTCTTGGGTCCCCCCTTGGTCTCTCTCAGATCTCCCTCTGGTCTCCCTCTGGTCTCTTTAAGTTATTGACAGGTAGACTAGTGGTGTGTTGTGTGTAGATTCCTGGTTTTCACAGCTGACCCCCACATTAACCCCCCAGGTCCTGAACAGGTGGCACCAGAACCATGTCACCCAGATTTATGGTAACCTCCACATGGTTTACCCATTTAGGCGACTCCCAGAATACCAGATGAAACCGGTTCAGAAAACAGTCAAGAACAAATGTGTGTCTTTGTAAACCAGGGTCAATAATAATAATAATGTTTTTGCTCTAGCTCTATGCTAACACCAGCGTAGGGTCTCTCTCTCTCTACCCTTCGGTTCCACTCTGATCTCTCATTAGTCTCTCTCGCTGGTATTTCTCTGGTGTCTCTAGTCTCTATCTCTCTCTGGTTTCTCTCTCTCTAGTCTCCCTCCCTCTAGTCTGTTTATCTGGTCTCTCTTTCTCTCTGGTCTCTCTTTCTCTAGTCTCTCTCTGGTCTCTCTTTCTGGTCTCTCTCTGGTCTCTCTATGGTTTCTCTCTAGTCTCTCTCTCTTCTCTCTCAGTGTCACATGTGATTGTAAACAAGTTCATGGCCTTTAATTTTGTCCCCTCTATTTTCTCTGGTCTCTTCAGTCTCTCACTTTCTAGTCTCCCTCCCTATAGTCTCTCTTTCTCTAGTCTCTCTCTCTGGTCTATCTTTCTCTAGTCTCTCTTCTTCCTGGTCTCTCCTTCTCTAGTCTCTCTCTCTGGGGTAGAGTAGAGTAGAGTAGAGTAGAGTAGAGTAGAGTAGAGTAGAGTAGAGTAGAGTAGGACTGGAAGAACCTGGACTAAAGTCAAAACAATCGCAGCATTGAAAGTACAGTCGTCGTGAGCAGAGAGTCCACAGAGACTGGACGAGACATTCTGAGGCCAAAAAGAGGAATTTCAGGACAAACTGTGAAAGTGGCCAACTCTGAAACCTCGGTCAAAGAGCGGTTTCACAGAGAAGTGGAACCAAAAAACAGTCAGGACCAAACCTGGGACCATGAGCACTTCCCTATTAGGTTTAATGGAGCTATAGCGGGTTAGCATTGTCCATCTGTATACAGTCTGTGTTAGCATTGTCCATCTGTATACAGTCTGTGTTAGCATTGTCCATCTGTATATTATGGTTATGAACGTGTGATTCCTTGTCTTTTGATTCCATTACATGATTGACAGTTAAAAATATCTTAAGAAGACACGAATCAAGTAGAAACAAAATTTACCGAGCTGCAACGAGTACAACTATTCCTAGATCTCTGAGTGAGTCTGAATGTATCTCATCATTTTCCACGAAAAGGTCTCAAAGTGGTCTTTCTCTGGTCTCTCCCTGGCCTCTCTCTCTCTGGTCTCTCTCTCTCTGGCCTCTCTCTGGTCTCCCATGTCTCTCTCTCTAGTCTCTCTCTGGTCTCCCATGTCTCTCTCTCTCTGGTCTCTCTCTGGTCTCTCTCTAGTCTCTCTCTGGTCTCCCATGTCTCTCTCTCTCTGGTCTCTCTCTGGTCTCTCTCTGGCCTCTCTCTGGTCTCTCTCTCTGGTCTCTCTCTAGTCTCTCTCTGGTCTCCCATGTCTCTCTCTCTCTGGTCTCTCTCTGGTCTCTCTCTGGCCTCTCTCTGGTCTCTCTCTCTGGTCTCTCTCTAGTCTCTCTCTAGTCTCTCTCTGGTCTCTCTCTGATCTCTCTGTGGTCTCTCTCTAGTCTCTCTCTGGTCTCTCTCTGGTCTCTCTCTGGCCTCTCTCCGGCCTCTCTCTGGTCTCTCTCTGATCTCTTCCTAGTCTCCCTCTGGTCTCTCTCTTTGTTTACGGCGGATACCATAAATATCTCTCTTGTAAAAGTGCTCCTGTCGCCGCAGAGAGAGGTCGATGCAGTTATAGATTTGTGGATTTGTGGCTTCGATCGCTATATTCTGTCTGGACACGACACCGAACGAGGCCAGAGCCGGTGATGAATGAGTCCGAGGTCCGGAGCCCAGGACCATCTGGGGCCGCTCTCAGAATGACGGATGGTGTGCCACATGTGCAATACGTGCAATGCCCTTTGGATCCTGTAGTTATTCCATGATACAGAACGGTTTTTCAGATGCTCCGGGCCTAAACGGGACAAGACCTGCTTTGTCACAAGTGGAGGGACTGAGTGTGACATCACCAGAGTGTTAGCGGTTAGCCTGTAGTGTAGAGGAAGCCAGTTTGGCCGTAAGCTAGCTGGAGCCAATTTCCTTATAAGGGCGTTCAAGCTGAGTTTAATATTGTCACCACTTCGAGGTGTTGTGAGAAAATAATGAGACGATAGTTAATATGTACTGAGACCAGAGATTAGAGGGAGATCAGAGAGAGACCAGAGAGAGAGAGACTAGAGAGACCAGATAGAGATCAGAGAGAGAGAGACTAAAGAGAGACCAGAGAGAGACCAGAGAGAGAGAGACTAGAGAGACCAGATAGAGATCAGAGAGAGAGACTAGAGAGAGCCCAGAGAGAGAGAGACCAGAGAGAGACCAGAGAGAGAGAGACTAGAGAGACCAGATAGAGATCAGAGAGAGAGAGACTAGAGAGAGACCAGAGAGAGAGAGACCAGAGAGAGAGAGACCAGAGAGAGACCAGAGAGAGAGAGACCAGAATGAGATTAGAGGGAGATCAGAGAGAGACCAGAGAGAGACCAGAGAGAGGCCAGAGAGAGACCAAAGAGAGACCAGAGAGAGATACTAGAGAGAGGCCAGAGAGAGATCACAGAGAGACCAGAGAGAGACAAGAGAGAGACCGGAGAGAGGCCGGAGAGAGACCAGAGAGAGACCGGGGAGAGACCAGAGAGAGACTAGAGAGAGACCAGAGTGAGACTAGAGAGAGACCAGAGTGAGACAAGAGAGAGACCGGGGAGAGACCAGAGAGAGACTAGAGAGAGCAAGCTGTCAACTGATAGTCCGTGTGTGAAGTGTGTAAAGCAGCTGTGTAAACGCAGAGTCTGTAAAGTCACTCACAATAAAATGTTGACCCAAATGAGCAGCAAAAGGCTCCGAACAAAAACATGCTTTTTTTTTTCTTCTCCAAATCAAATTTAACGAAACTAGAAAAGACTGGAGCTAGGACTTATCTGGATCGACTGCTGTAAAAGTCCTTGTGTTGTGTTGTTAACTTACAAACAGACAGACCTGGTGATTACAGTACCCCAGATCTACACCCTCAGTCCTGGGTCTACAGCCTCAGTCCTGGGTCTACAGCCTCTGTCCTGGGTCTACAGCCTCAGTCCTGGATCTACAGCCTCAGTCCTGGGTCTACAGCCTCAGTCCTGGGTCTACAGTCTCAGTCCTGGGTCTACAGCCTCAGTCCTGGGTCTACAGCCTCAGTCCTGGGTCTACAGCCTCAGTCCTGGGTCTACAGCCTCAGTCCTGGGTCTACAGCCTCAGTCCTGGGTCTACAGCCTCAGTCCTGGGTCTACAGCCTCAGTCCTGGGTCTACAGCCTTTGTTATTATTGCATTCTGAGTTTGATTCTCTAATCTTTTCTTGTCTAATCCACAACTTTGTAAAGTCCTCGGCTGCAGTGGTTTAGGTCCATCCACAAATACATCGAAATGAAAATAGAATGATGCGTCACAGTTCATAGACACTCAAAAAGTGATGAAATATAAGTTAAAAATTGCTCAAATTTGACAAAACGAACCATAATTTGAGAACTTTCTGCCCTAAAACAAGATTTGCCAAAAAAGATACAAGACATTTTGGAATGAGAAAATAAAGCAACAGTTATTAAAAAAAAAACTAAACAGCTTTGAGACTAATCTTGTTTTTATCTTGTCTCTCTTCGGTCTCTCTCTAGTCTCTCTCTGGTCTCTCTCTAGTCTCTCTCTGGTCTCCTTCTTGTCTCTCTCTAGTCTCTCTCTGGTCTCTTTCTTGTCTCTCTCTAGTCTCTCTCTTGTCTCTCTCTGGTCTCTCTCTGGTCTCTCTCTGGTGTCTCTCTGGTCTCCCTCTGGTCCCTCTCTAGCCTCTCTCTCTCTGCTCTCCCTTTGCTCTCTCTCTGGCCTCTCTCTGGTCTCCCTCTGGTCTCCCTCTGGTCTCTCTCTGATATCTCTCTGGTCTCCCTCTGGTCTCTCTCTGGTCTCTCTCTGCTTCTCTGGTCTGAAACCACTCAGATTAACTCAATATCATAGTAACACAGTTTTAAATCTCCTCCACTTACCCTGGACTTGGCAGGTCAGTGAGGCCAGTCCCACCAAGACCAGAGCGGTCCCCCAGGCCAGGTCTCCCCCCATCGCGGCCTCTCTCTCCACAGCAGGACGCTCCCCCTCTCCCCTTCTCCACAGATCCTCCGAGTTTGAACGACGAAGCAGCTTTAATCCAGGAGCCACGGATCAAGCTCCACTCTCTCGCCTCTCACCCCAGACTCTGAAAGACAAGGGGAGGCAGGGGAGGAAGACGAGGAGGGGGAGGAAGGAGAGGTGTGAGTGCGGCTGAGGTTTTGGTCCAGCCCTCTCTCTGTGAGCGACAGCTGAGGTCTCGCACACACATTCTCACATCAGTCATATGCAGAAATGAAAGCGGGGCTCGGAATCGGGGGCAACGAGGGTGAAGGAGGTGACAGAGCATTGTGCTGAGGGGGAGGGAGGGGGGGGAGGGAGAGGGAGGGGGGCGGGAGACGGGTGAGGGTCCTGAGCAGAGACTGAGATCTGCAGACACTGGAAAAATAGGCCGACAGAAGCTCGACACACTGACTTTAATTCATTGATTTATAGTGTTTGTCATGGTCTCTCTCTGGTCTCTCTCTGGTCTCTCTTTGGTCTCTCTTTGGTCTCTCTCTGGTCTCTCTCTGGTCTCTCTTTGGTCTCTCTCTGGTCTCTCTCTGGTCTCTCTTTGGTCTCTCTCTGGTCTCTCTCTGGTCTCTCTTTGGTCTCTCTCTGGAGTCTCTCTGGTCTCTCTCTCTTTTCTCTCTCGCTGGTCTCTCTTGTCCCGCTCAGTTCTCTGTCTCTATTTTCTCTCTGGTCTCTCTCTAATCTCTTAATCTGGCCTGCTCTCTCTTTTCCCTCACTCTGGTTTCTCTCATCTGTCTCCATAGTCTCTCTCTAACACCATAAACACACTTGTGTCGTACTCTCCTTCTGGGACTAAAGGTGGAAAGGGAACCAGTTGTGTATTAGCAATCAGGTCTCTCTCTGGTCCCTCTTTCTCTTTCTAGTCCCTCTCTCTCTCTTGTTGCTCTCTGTTCTCTTGCTCTAGTCTCTCTTTTCTCTCTCTGGTCTCTCTCTCTAGGACCGAACACCATAAACACCCATCTGTGCAGTACTTCCCCCCACGGTTCTAATTGTCCAGAAGAGACCAAAGGAGACCAGAGGAGACCAGAGGGGACCAGAGGAGACCTGAAGCCCTGCAAGAGACCAGAGGAGACCAGAGAGAGACCAGAGAGAGACCAGAGAAAGACCAAAGAGAGACCAGAGAGAGACCAGAGAGAGACCTGAGAAAGACCAGAGAGAGACCAGAGAGAGACCAAAGAGAGACCAGAGAGAGACCAGAGAGAGACCTGAGAAAGACCAGAGAGAGACCAGAGAGAGACCAGAGAGAGACCTGTGAGAGAGCTGAGGAGGCCAGAGGTGACGAGACCTCACACCTCCTGGCACCAGCAAAGCTCCACACTCCTCCTGGTAATCCAGCACACACGCAACCATCAACGCGGCACCAACACACACCAGAGACATTCCAGAGGTGAGAGATTAATTTGAGTAACAACTTAAGAGGATTAAGAGGCGCTATCAGACGGATTACATCAAGTCCAGAGAAAGACGCACACAAATAGAGTTGTTTGGTTTAACACAAAGAGTGGAAGAAGTAAAAAGAACAGAGTGAGAAACCCCCCGAGCTGACAGCTGCTGCACCTGCACCTGTGGTGCTGCGTAGACCAGGAAACATCAGAAAATACTACATCGTAGCATGGTCTCTCTCTGGTCTCGCACTGATGTCACTCTCTGGTTTTGTTCTCTCTTTAGTCTCTCTGGTCTCTCTGATCTCTCTTTAGTCTCTCTTGTCTCTCTCTGGCCTCTCTCTGGTCTCTCTTTTGTCTCTCTGGTCTCTCTGATCTCGCTTTAGTCTCTCTGGTCTCTCTTTAGTCTCTCTCTGGTCTCTCTTTTGTCTCTCTGGTCTCTCTGATCTCGCTTTAGTCTCTCTGGTCTCTCTTTAGTCTCTCTGGTCTCTCTTTAGTCTCTCTGGTTTCTCTGGTCTCTCTTTAGTCTCTCTGGTCTCTCTTTAGTCTCTCTGGTCTCTCTTTAGTCTCTCTGGTCTCTCTTTAGTCTCTCTGGTTTCTCTGGTCTCTCTTTAGTCTCTCTGGTCTCTCTTTAGTCTCTCTGGTCTCTCTTTAGCCTCTCTGGTTTCTCTGGTCTCTCTTTAGCCTCTCTCCGGTCTCAGTTCCGAGGACCCCCCACAGTCTTAGCAGTGTGCCCTAGGGCAGCTGTGGCCACAGTAGAAGTGTCTCATTTAAGGAGTTAATAAACAATGACGCACGAAAGCACTTTCTAAAACCCATGTATCAACAAATCCATAAAACAAAATAAAAACCTTGCAGAGTCTTTAGAAAGAACTGTACGGGCCCCAGCTCGGCGACCCGCTGCATCGTTCATGCTTCCTAACTATATATCGTGGATTACACACTTTCTTTGGAGCCGTAGCCCGGGCTAGCCTAGCCGGGGCAGAAGCATAGCATAGGTTAAACTGCTGGTAGCATAAGTTGGTGATTTCAATGGTTTTGTTGAGATGATACTTTTGTGATTTAGGGCTATACAAGAACACATTGTATTGTATTGAAAGTGCATTAAAATATTTGCATAAGTAAGTAAGTTATTTATATAGCAAATCGTCCTCCACTACTGAAGAGAGGAGCAGTGGTGGTGGCTGGTTAAGTGCGATAAGTCTGTTTGGGGCGAGCGAGCGCAGTGAGAATGGGTCAGTGCACCTTCTGCGCTTCATCAACCTCACAGCAGGAGGGTCCTCAGCCACAACAGAGTGGACAGAGCTCAAGGAGGCAGGGGGGATGCAGGGGGGAGGCAGGGGGAGGAAGGGGGGAGGCAATGAATTGAAGTATAAGGACTCTCTCTCGCTAGAATCTAGACTGTCTCTGGTCTCTGGACTCTCTCTGGTCTCTCTCTGGTCTCTCTCTCAGGAGGTGGAAAGCAGCTGGTTTCTCAGTGAAATGAGCAGATTTTCAGCAGCTCAAAGTAGAAGGTTTTGGCACCAAATATTTATGAGTCGAGAAACACAGCTGTCTGCAGCAAACGCACAAACTGGAAGGAAAACAAGGAGACAACTTTATCCCAGAGACCAGAGAGAGACAAGAAAAGGACCAGAGAGAGATAGAGACCAGAGAGAGAGACCAGAGAAAGAGACCAGAAAGGGACCAGAGGGAGATAAGAAAGAGACCAGAGAGAGACCAGAGAAAGAGACCAGAGAGAGACCAGAGAGAGACCAGAGAGAGACCAGAGATTAGAGGAAGTAACTAAAGAAGATATAGGCCAGAGAGAAAAAGAGACCACAGAGATAAGGGTCTGAGAAAGAAAGACCTAAGAGAGAGAGAGTGAGGCCAGCAAGAGCGATAGACCAGAGGGGAGAAAGAGAGAGACAAGAGAGTATCACAAGAGTCAAGACAGAGAAGTCAGAATGAAACCAGAGAGACATGATGGAGACAGAGAGAGAGAGAGAGAGAGAAAGAGAGAGAGAAGAGGTAGAGAGACCAGAGAGAGAGAGATCAGAGAGAGAGAATAGGGAGAGAGACCAGAGAGAGATACCATAAAACCACGCCGCCCTAACGTCTCAGTGGCTTCACATGGTCCCACAGTTGTTGGTCCGATCGCTCCATCATCTGTCAGATCCTGCTGAGTCTGATGAAAGGCCTGATGAATATTCACCATCCGTCACTATAGCACTGTCCACACAATAGGACTGAACGGACCAGCAAGACGGACCAGCAGGTCAGACCAGGAAGACAGACCAGATAGAAGGCAGAGAGAGCGAGAGACCAGAGAGAGACCAAATAGAGGGACCAGAGAAGAGACCAGAGTGAGAGACCTGAGAGAGACCAAAGAGACACCAGAGAGACACCAGAGAGAGACCAGAGAGAGACCAAAGAGAGACCAGAGAGACACCAGAGAGAGGCCAGAGAGAGACCAGAGAGAATCCAAAGAGAGACCAGAGAGACACCAGAGAGACACCAGAGAGAGACCAGAGAGAGACCAGAGAGACACCAGAGAGACACCAGAGAGAGACCAGAGAGAGACCAGAGAGACACCAGAGAGAGGCCAGTCCCTGAGTCCCAGCAGAGAGAGGAATAAAGATGTTGTTGACACATTTTGCCAAAGGAGATGTATTTGTATTTATGTATTTTCTGGTGAATGCTCAGCAGCTAAAGTTGTGGAAGTGAAAGTGCTGGTCCTGATCTCGTCCACATTGTCCGCTTTGTTCTGGTGGGACCAGGGGGAACGCTCTGCTGGTCCTGCCAAGTCAACCAGGAGCATTTAATGAAGGGATTGTGAGCCCAGCCGCCGGGGCAGACACGGCCAGCTCTAATTAAGGGGTTCCTCCGACCGTTAGACACAGCGGACCATGGGGGTCACCACGGCAACTCCTCGACCTGCGCCTGACCCTCACACCTGCCTGGGCACATTACAACACACCATGTCCACTCCAGCTGGTACCACACACCAGGAACAGGCCGGTCCTGCCGCCCCGTGATGCACACATTACTTTAATCTGTCCAAGAACATGTTTTCTCTTCTGTTTTTCCTGATTTTCTGCATCGGCTGAGGCTGTAGACCCAGGACTGAGGCTGTAGACCCAGGACTGAGGCTGGACTGAGACTGCAAACTCCCTCCCTCTCTCTGGTCTCCCTTTCTCTTTCTGGTCTCCCTCTGGTCTCTCTCTCTGGTCTCCCTCTGGTCTCCCACTGGTCTCCCTCTGGTCTCACCCTCTGGTCTCCCTCTGGTCTCCCTCTGGTCTCCCTCTGGTCTCTCTCTGGTCTCCCTCTGGTCTCCCACTGGTCTCCCTCTGGTCTCACCCTCCGGTCTCTCTCTGGTCTCTCTCTGGTCTCTCTCTGGTCTCCCTCTGGTCTCTCTCTGGTCTCCCTCTGGTCTCCCACTGGTCTCCCTCTGGTCTCACCCTCCGGTCTCTCTCTGGTCTCTCTCTCAGATCTCTCTCTCTGATCTGTGACTCTTATCTTTCTCTCTGGTCTTGCTCTATGGTCTGTTATTCTGGTCTCTCTCTCTGGTCTCTCTCCTTGTTCTCTCTCTGGTCTGTTACTCTGGTCTCTCTGGTATCTCTCTCTGGTCTCCCTCCTTGTTCTCTCTCTGGCCTCTCTCTAAATCAGCAATGACCTATAGTGTAGCTCTCTTCTTGGCTAACATTTATTGTACTCTGTTAGCATGTTAGCACAAAGCTAACACCACAGAATAAATACCAATATAAGGAAATCAGCCCCAGCTAGCTAACATTCAAAGCAGCCTCTTCTGCATTCAGGCTAACACGGTGATGTCACA